CCATGAGCAAGTGCCTAAATTCAGATCTGCACTATCACGAGATACAACTGACTGTTTCTGCTGCGCTAGGTGATCAAGTTTTCCAAACATAGGTACAATACCTTGATGTAGATCATCTGTCCTTTATTGAGCCTGCCAATCTGCATCAGTATAGATTTCAACATCTCTTTTCACTGTCTTTCGAAATAACAATTTTTGTCATGGAGTCATTTTTAAGTATCTTAGAATTCGATACACAGATTTCATGTGTTCCTCAGTTTGCTGATTCATGAATTGACTCACTGTACTTACTGTAAAACCAATGTCGGGTCTTGTATGTGCTAGGTAGATGAGCTTCCCAACTAGTTTTTGATACATTTCTCGATCAATTATTTTATCACCGATTTCGGATTTAAGTTTGATGGCTGGATCCATAAGAGTGTCAGCAAGCTTACTTTCTAACATCCTAGTCTCCTTTAGAAGATCTAGAACATTCTTTCGTTGAGGTACCGAAATTCCCTTCTTGGATCTAAGCACCTCTATTCTAAGGAAGTATTTTAGTACTCCGAGATCTTTAATTTCAAACTTTTTGGCTAATAATTCTTTAAGCTTCTGAATCTCTTCAATATGATCTCCTGTAAGGATGATATCATCTACATATACACAATCAAGATAACTTTCATACTTAAGGTATAATGCTTGACAAATAGTGTATGATCAAACTGACATTGTTCATATCCTTCTCGTTTTACTGCTCTTGTGAATCTATCAAACCATGCCCTTGGAGATTGCTTTAGAATATAGAGTGATTTTTTCAGTTTGTATACTTTCTGAGGACTGTCTACTAGTTCAAATCCTGGTGGTATGTCCATATACACTTCTTCCTCTAGATCTGCATTTTTCACATCTAGTTGACAGAGTGGCCAATCAAGATTAGAGACGAGTGAGAGAACTACTTGAATTGTATTGTATTTGGCTACCGGAGCAAATGTCTCTTGATAATCTATCCCATATGACTGAGTGTAGCATTTGGCTACTAGTCGAGGCTTATACCGATTCACATTTCCATCTGGATTTTATTTAGTTGTGAAGACCCATTTGCACCCCACTTGGTGTTTCCCTGGAGGTAGATCGATTAATTCTCATGTTCTGTTCTTTTCAAGTGCCTTGATTTTCTCTTGAATAACCATCCTTCATTCAGATATTTTTAGAGCTTCATGGATTGTTTTAGGCTCTGGTGAGCTACTGCCTAACCTGCACACAAAAGCATGATGCTCTGAAGACAACTTGTCTAATGAAATATAGTCCTGTATAGGATGTTTGACGCATGTCCGAGTCCCTTATCTCAAAGCAATAGGCATGTCAATGTCAGTATTTATAGTAGGAATAGAAGTCTCATTATCTGTCAATTTCTGGGCACCAAGATCAAAGGTGGATTCATGGTAAGACTTGGATGATTTAGGTGTCTTCCCTTTATTTCTTTTAGTATAGACACGTAACTCACTAGTTGCAAGTACTGTGTTCTCTGTAAATGGTTTTGGTTCAGCTTCTTTATATTTATGTGAGGTTGTAGGTTCAGGCTTCAGAGAGGGTTTATCTGGTAGAGGGTGACTCTGTGGATATAGAGGAGGTATGCTTACATTCCGCTACTAATATTTCTGAGTAAATGTTTCCCCTTGAATATCAATTGTGGGAGAAAATGGCTAGTTTTCAAAAAATATAACATCTATTGTGTTATAAAATCGACGGGTTTCTGGAACTAGACATTTGTATCCTTTCTGATTAGTAGAGTACTCAACAAAGATGCATTTAAAGGCTCTTGGGTTAAGTTTCCCACGGAGATGAGTGTGACTATGAACATGTACTGAACAACCAAAGACTTTGAGTGGTAATGTGTTTAAGATATGAGATTCAGAAAAGGTTGGTGAAAGAATAGTGTAAGGCGATTGGAACTTTAGGACACGGAAGGGCATCCTGTTTATCAAGTAGCAGTGAGAACAGCCTCTCCCCAAAGAAATTTTGGTACGTGAGTGATGAACATGATTGATCTAGCTATCTTAAGAATGTGTCTTTTTTCCTCTTGGCTATGCCGTTTTGTTGTGGGCTATGTACACTAGTTTTTGTGAATAATACCATGTTCATTAAAATATTTTTCAACGGTGGCTTCAAAGTATTCACAAGCATTGTCAAATTTCAATACTTGGATGGTAGCATGGAATTGTGTTTGGATCATTGTATGGAATTTTTTAAAGAGAGGTCCAACTTCAGATTTTTTTTTTTTCATAACAAACACTCGGTAATTCTTATATGATCATCAATAAAGGATATAAATCACCTATTTCCGGTGATGTTGGTGACCTTAGAAGGTCCTCATACATCGCCATGAATTAATGCAAATGATTTTAAGGGTTTGTATAGCAGACTAGGAAGTGAACTTCGAACATGTTTACAAAATTAACAAATTTCACACTGAAATGAAATGAGATCTTTTTTTTCAAATAGTAAAGGGAACAACTTTTTCAAATACACGAAATTTGGATGTCCTAATCTATAGTGCCACAACATAATATCATAGTCATTATTTGCAGAAACAGAGTTTGCACATACTGCATTGTGAATTTTTCTTCTAGAAGCATTGATTTGAAGCAGGGATAGTCCTAAGCTCATTCTAGCATTGCCAATCATTCTCCCCGTGTCTAAGTCTTGAAATTCACACATGTTAGAGACAAACTTGGCAGCACAATTTAAATATTCACTTAGCTTGCTTACTGATAACAAATTACAATCCAGATTTGGAACATAAAAGATTGAGCAAAGAGTCAAATTTGGAGACAAATTTACAAAATCTATTTCTGCCACTTTTGAGAGGGATCCATCAACAATTCTGATTGAATAATCTTCTTTACACTTGTTGTATTTTTGAAATATTGAGGCATCTCCAGTCATATGATCAGATGCTCCTCAGTCTACAATCCAAACCTGCCCTTTTTCTGAGTAAGCAGACAAACCAAAAAAAATATTTTTGTGTACCACTGAAGCACTGACCGGGTAACTTTTTTGGGACAGCATGCGCCGGAGAGCTTCCAGCTGTTCAGGACTAAAGGAACTGCTCTCCACAACAGCAGGTGGAATTTCTTCAGCAGTCACATGATTTCCCTGGTGCTTGTTTGAGTTTTCTGGCTTGAAGGGCTTCTAATCACTTGGCTTGCCATGAAGCTTGCAACACTTTTCGCGTGTGTTCTCGAGCTTCCTAAATTGGTCACACTAAGGTCTCATCTTCTTTGTATGAGCATCCAGTGCTCGAGTTGTGAGCGTAGAGGAATTTTTGGCCTAGTCGGTGCGTTCGGCGTCTCCCAAAATGACCTTCCTTCGGCTTTCTTCTTGTCGAATCTCATAGAAGGCCTCATGAAGACTCGACAGTGACTTGATACTCAGCACACGTCTCCGAACCTCATTGCGGTTTTTGTTCAATCCCAACATAAATTTGAAGACTCGCTTTTGTTCAACAATCGATTTGATGATTTTTGCATCTTCGGGACAGTTCTATCAATACTCTTCGAAGATATCCAATTGCTGCCAGCTGCGGGTTAAACCATTATAATATTGGGTTACGGTTAACTCACATTGCCGAAAATTGTGAAGAGTCAATTCTATCTCAAGGATGGCAGAGATGTTCTCCTTGTTGGAGTAGAATTCCTGAGCCGTTTCCCAAATTTCATGCGCGGTATCATAGAGAAGGAAATTCTCTTCGATTTCTGGAGTCATTGAAGTTATGAGGCACGACATGATCATGCTGTTTTTTATCTTCCGTGTACGAGCATTCAGGTTAGTCGGGGAGGAGTTATGAGTTCACCAGTGAGATACTTGTCGTGCCCCTTACCTCGGATGAACAGCAGAACGAACGATGACCATTGAAGGTAATTGGTGCCGTTTAGTTTGTGTCATGTGATAAAGGACGAAGGCATTTCACCCACACCGTTGTTGATGGGTGTGTGATGATAGGAACCCGAAGAGATCTCGGGTGGAGAAGACGGAAGCTTACTTGTGGCCATTTGTGACTTCGGCACAGTAGGCATGATTCTCTTGGATCAAATATGCTCTGATACTATGAAGTTTTAGATAATGGAAATTCTACTTCTGTTTATTATTTTCATCACCATAAGGTGTCAATTTATAGGAAAAATACAACCAAATTCTAACAAAAAACCTAACAAAATTTTAATAACTTTATGAGAAGAAGGAATAACAAAATCGGTTATATCTCACCAACTTTGTGATTACTTCCACTAGCTAATAACAATAAA